GGAATATGTTCAAATGTGGAATTAAAAGTCCATGAAAGCAGAATATAGAAGATACATCTCTATTGGATTTATAGAACTTTCTGACCTTTGATTCTCTATGAATTAGAATTGGGAAAGGAGAAAACAGGAGAATGATTTGTTCTGTACACTGGTTCTAATTTACAAACGTGAAACTTGCAAAGTCCAAGTAACTATCTAAAAACATAGCAAAATACCTGCAAATTGAATGACACGACACATCTATCATGCCTCCCTCTTACAAATTGAAAACTAAATAAGGGAAGCTTGTTTGCTGTGTGGAAGTGCTGTCTGCAACTTAGCTACCAACCATGAAGATACATGTAGTATGTATTCATCAGGTCAGCCAGCCAGTTGGTCTATCTGAAAAATTCCTCATGTGACTTGGGAACCACTATATGGCCTCTTAGGATGGATGAGATAGGGAACCATTTGACTTTGAAGAGATGACTTCTCGTGAAAAAGTCTCATGCAGGATTTTAACTGGCCTTAAGGATAGCATGAACACCAGAATTCTAATTAAAATGTCTTTAAATGCACAATACCTTTTTCAGGTTCGAGAAAACAACTACACCTATGAATTTGATTTTTCAAAAGTCTATTGGAATCCCCGTCTCTCTACAGAACACAGCCGTATCACAGAACTTCTCAAACCTGGAGATGTCCTGTTTGATATTTTTGCTGGGGTTGGGCCCTTTGCCATTCCAGCAGCAAAGAAAAACTGCACTGTATTTGCCAATGATCTCAATCCTGAATCCTACAAATGGCTATTGCACAACTGTAAATTAAATAAAGTGGACAAAAAGGTAAAAGTCTTTAACTTGGATGGGAAAGACTTCCTCCAAGGACCAGTCAGAGAAGAGTTAATGCAGCAGTTGGGACCACTGTCAAAAGAAAGAAAACACTCTGTGCACATTGTCATGAACTTACCAGCAAAGGCTATGGAGTTTCTCGGTGCTTTCAAATCACTTTTGGATGGGCAACCATGCAGCAGTGAGCTCCTTCCCATAGTGCACTGTTACAGTTTTTCCAAAGATGCGAATCCTGCTAAGGATGTTCAGCAACAAGCTGAAGCTGTGTTGGGCATTTCCCTGGATGCGTGCAGTTCAGTTCACCTAGTAAGAAATGTGGCCCCTAACAAGGAAATGTTATGCCTCACCTTTCAGGTTCCTGCAGCTATACTCTACAAGGACCAGACCCTAGATCTAGGTGAGCAATTTCTGGGAAATTAAATGTAAGCTATAATACTTTTCATGTAGTTTTCTTAGACTATATTATTTATTTAGTTTGGAATAGATTAAACTAATTCTAGTTAGATATTTCAGTTTAATACCCCTTGCCATTTGTGACTAGTCTCTCCCAATTAAACAAATTTTAGTGTGTCACACTGTACAATCTAGTGGAAGGCTCTTTCATTAAATAATAAATCCAGAGTCTAAAGAACCTAATAAACTGATAAACAAAATAGATTCAGTGACATGGAAGCATGGATCAGACTGACGAATCTCAGAGGGAAGGTGGGAGTAGGTAGGTGGGTGGGTGGGGAGAAATTAACCAAAGAACTTATATGCATATATGCATAACCCAAAGACACAGACAATAGCATGGTGAGGGGCTGGGGAGGGGAGTGGATGTGGGATGGAAGGGGTCAATGGGGGGAAAAAAGGACATCTGTAATATTTTTGAATAAAAAATAAAATACTTTATTTGATAACTATTAACAGATCAACTGAATAAAATATATAGCTCTCAAATAATAATAATAATAAATCCACAGGAATGTTACTATTTCATACACAAATTGAATAGATTAAAAACCTTTACCTACGTTATTTGCTTTTTAGGCCTTGGGCCGGACACTGGGACCACTGAGCCAAACCAGCTAGGGCTACATTATTTGCTTTTTTAAAAGTATTTTCAAACATTCAGTATCTTATCTAATATGTTTTCTGGATCTATTACAGAGAATCATGAAGATCCTCCACCTCTTAAACGCCAGAGGACAGATAAAGCCTTTTCAGAAGACAAAACCACCTTTGCTTAAATCACTTTAATTGGAAATGTTTTCTCCATCTCCCCACTAGATTGTTATGTAGTAAAATATAATTTGTATGATTTCATAAAATTTTAGCATTTGGTTACTTTAGTATTGAACTATTATATTTAACCCTTTCTGTTTTATAAATTGAGGATTATCAAATAAAAGTTTAAATGAAATAAGTCTACTAAACATTTTTATTACCTAAATTATACTACATAATTATAATTTTATAATCTAAGTTACTTAAACGTGTTTAAATATGTCTGTCTCTTGGGAAAATAGTTTTTGAAGGCAGGGTAGTTACGTGCTAACTAGGAAAGCACTAATATCACTGCAGTTATCCTTAGCTGAAGACTATAGCTAAGTTTTATATAGTATTCTTATACTATCACTATAAAAGTAATAAAAATGAGATTATTTAGATCAGGGATATGCAAACCATGTCTGGCATGCCAATTCTGGCCTACCACCTGTTTTTGTATGACAAGTAGCTTGAGAATGGTTCTTATATTTTTAAATCATTGATAAAGAATCAAAATAACATTTTGGATATGAAAACTATATGAAATTTAACTTTCAGTGTCCATAAATAAAGTTTTATTGGAATACACCATGTTCATTTGTTTACATACTGTCTAAGGCTGCTTTCATGGCATAAAGGGAGAGTTGAGTAGTTGTAACACAATGAAGTGTAATTCTCATCACTTCATACTTGTGCTCAGTACACTACAAATCACAATGATACTGTAATAATTTAATAGTATTTTCACTGCTATTTATGTAACTAAGCTATAACATTGTATTTTATTACCAGTGTATATCCATCATTTCAGAACAAGAAAGGTGGGCTTTTAATGTGTTTTTGAGGCAGTAGTGGAGTGTGAATTATTTTGGTATTGAATTAGATGACAAAGCACCTATTCCTGCACTAAAAAACAGCAATATCGACATTACCAAAAGAAGTACTCATCTCAGCATTTCCAACTCACAGACAAGCTACTGTCAGAAAAATTAGAAATTTAAACTGGAAATATTATAGTATAATTTCTTCACAATTAAAAATAGAAAACAAGGCTGCAACCAAAGTAAGTCTCCAAGTAACTTGTAAGCCAAGCAAGGTCAGCCATTTAATCAATTCACTAATTGTGAATTAACTGTGTTTGGATACAGCAGCCAAAGAAATGTGTCCAAAGAAAGTAAACTTTTTAAATCTATTGGCCTTTTGGCAAGAACAATTGCTCAGAGTTGAGAACACTGGGAGCAATATCAATTGTCAATTAAAAAGGTAAATGAGTCCAAATGGTTCTTTGACACTTGATGAGTTGATAGATATTACTAATACTGCTCAGTTCGTATTTATTTGAGGCATTAATGCTGAGTTTGAAGTTACTAAAGAATTAGCCCTGAATACTCTGCATGGAACACCTACTGGTGAATATTTTCAAAGAAGTTGAGAAAAGTAATTCTGTACAAACTGAAGTGGAATGTGCTAAGATGTTATAAGTGATGGTGGTAAGACCTAGTTGGAGAAGTTTACAAAGCTTGTGAAAATGTAAGGTGTTTAAAACCTACGGTTATTCACTATCTTTATCAGCAAGTACCTTGCAGAAAATTTTTGAATCATTTGTTCCTGAACCAATAGTATCAATTGTAAACCATTTGTTTTCATGGACTTGAACCATTCTGTAGTTCTTGAGTTTTGTCAGATACTGAAGCTGAATTTCCTGACTCGCTTGATCTAGGTTTGATTTGCTTAGAATTGTAAAGTGTGATTGCAATTTTTTTGAGATGAGGGTCAAGACTGAAATTTTTCTTTAAAAAAACCACCCTTAAACACTATTCTTAGAACAATGAATGGCTTTGGAAATTAGCTTTTGCTAAAGATGATAATATTTCTTAAAGATTTCAATCTACAATTATAAGGCAAACATAACTTTAATGTGTAATATACTGCAGTAGCCATTTCAACAGCGGACATTTGAATCACATTATCCTGTGTTGTACATTTCTCATGCTATCAAAAATTAATACAAGAGCCCTGGCTGGGTAGCTCAGTTGATTAGTGTCCTCCTGATATGCCAAGGTTGTGGGTTCAATCCCTGGTCAGGGCACATACAAGAATCAACTAATGAAAGCACGAATGGGTGGGTAGAACAACAAATCGATGTTTCTCACTCTCTCAAAACATAAAAATAAAAAATACTAAAAAAAAATTAAAACAAGATTTCCCTTCTCACACAAATTAGCAGTGGATACACTTTCTGAGTTCAGCATTTTTGGGACCTTGATGCAAATGCAAAGGAAATTTCTGTATTTCAAAATCCACTGAACTACAATTCAACTTCCACCTCATCTTCAATTGAAAGCGAATAATGTGCTATGTAATCACATGCTAAAAGACAGATGTCAAGGGAAGAATCTAACAGTTTTACAAATGCCTTCCAAGTGGTGAATCATATCCTTCTGGATTGATACCAGTATTAAGCAGTATCTGTGTGAAAAGACATTTTTTAAAAGGTGAGGTGTGTAAAATCTCATTACAGATAACCATTAACAGGTGATCATTTACAATTGATTTTAATGATAGGAAACACTTAGAACCCCAATTAAAGGAAATGTGATTCCCAAAAAAAGACATTACAAAAAATATACTCAATTATATTTGGAATTTTGCTAATTAAAAAATTGTGCCAATTTATTTTTTGTTATATAAGTACCCACTTTAATGTCCTCAATTTTGCCTTAGTCCACAAGGCCCAGTATATTTACTGTCTAGTCCTATGGGAAGTTTCAGGACCCCTGATCCAAGTCATTTGATCCAAGCTCAAATGCCTCCAGAAGCCAGGCAGGTAATATAAGTAGATGAAGACAATAAATGATAAGAAGTGTAGGGAAGTAATGAATTGGAGCCTTTATTCCTTATCTAAAGGCACTTAAAATTGTTTTGAAACTCAACCCAACTTATCCGCTGCGAGAGCTTGAGGGCTAATTCAGCCAGGATTGTAGTTTGGGACTTCTAATTTTCTTACCCTCCCTGCCCTCTCAGGGAGAAGTAAACTGGTAGGGGTGAGCAAACTTTCTCTAATGGACCAGATAGTATTTAAGGCTTTGCAAGCCATAAGGTCTTTAGCTTCTCAACTCTGCCACAGTAGCCCAAAAGTAGCCATAGATAATACATAAACACTGTGCTCAAAAAAAACTCTATTTATGGACACTGAAATTTGAATTTCGTATGCTTTTCATGTGTTAAAAAGTATACTAATCTTTTGGCTTTTTTCAAACTTGAAAAAAATGTGGACACCAACCTTAGCTTACAGAGCATACAAAAACAGGCAAGCAGCTGGATTTGGCCAGGGGTCAATAGTTCCTCCACTTTCTCCTGATCTAGGTGAAGAGAGTTAATTTGCAAGTAGGAATAAAATTTTCTTCTAATACTGTACATTGATGTGCTAGGTTATGTGAAAAGTTAAAGTTGGTGGTATGCGGGCAGGCTAAATAGCCATCTCAGATGGTGAATAAAGAAAAATTAAATTTACTTAATTAAAGGGAATGGGAGATGGGGATAACCCAAGGGAAGGGCTACACAGCACTGAGTCAAAGGGCATTGGGTCCATGGTGGCAGCAAACCTTAGAACGGTGAAACAAGGAAGGTGCATAGAAGCAACAGGAGAGCCCAGGCTGGGCTGCTCTGGCTCACTGAGGAGTCAGAGAAAAGGGGGCCTTGGAGACAGGTTCAGGGGGTTAGCCCGGGATGAAATGCTGCTGCCCATTGCTCCCCTGGTTGCATGTCTAGTGGGGTCCCCTCGAAGGGAAGGAAGGAGATGACACTGAATCCTTTGTCCTGAGTGTATTTATCTCTTCCTTGCAGGTGGAAATCTTATGGAAGGTCTCAGGGGAGTGTCTCAATAGAATATTCATTAGCCTTCCAGGTGTGCTCTTTCAGGATCATGGTCTCCACTGATTGGTTGGTGCCAGGGCAGGGGGTCATTAGTCAATGTAGTTGGTCCTGAGGCAGCCAAGGCCTCACTTGACTGGTTATGCTGCTTTTCTGGGCCTGAAGCTGAAATACAAGTGAGGCCTACAAGTTATCTTTAGGGAGGAACTGCTCAGGGGGTCTAAACCACATGACCAGCGATAGGGGAGGATAGGTTACCCTGGGGACAAGGTTCTTGTTTTCCCAGTTTTGCCCCTTGCTAGGCATCTGGGGCTTTCTGCCCTGGTGAGTTTCTGTACCTAGCTCATGGTCCTTGGTCTGCTCATGTTTGTCTAACATTATGAATATTAAGTGTGGGTACAAATGATGTTCTTAGTTGTACATGTAAAGTGGTACAATTCCTGCCTCCATTTAATCATGCCTTAATTAGACAATATGTAGTATATTGTTGTAAAGAAAACATAATCCTTAAATGCTTCTATTAACATTTTAACCCCTCCCCCCTTTTCCCTCAGCATGGAAAATTTTTAATTTTGTTAATTTTTAACAAGTTTTGTGCCACCTTAATTTGAAATGATTATCTCACCACCTGTTGATTAAAGATAACTTCTAAAGAAGCTTAGATCAAATATTTATTGAATGAAATTAAGGAATACTAAGTAATAATGCATCCTAACTATGACGTAAATGTATTCAATACCATTAATATCTGCTTAAAAGGGAGTAGTTAATAGTCAATCATGTTCTACATAATTAATTTCTTAAAACTCTCAAGGGTATCTATCTAGAAGGTTAGTTGATATCGTTTATATCTCATGAAAAACTAAATACTTGATCTATAAAATTTCTTGAAGTCTTAAGAAATCTTCTACTACACAGCTGTTGCTTGCAAGTTTGAGCCTGACAGTCATCTCTAGAGCATGAACTCTGGAGTTTGACCACTTGGATTCAAATCCAAATTATGCTACTTTTAAGTTGTGTTGACCTTTGGCAAGTTACTTACTCTTTCTATGCCTCAAGTTCTTCATCTGTTAAAGTGGGGAAAATAAGACTAGCGCTGTTGTAAGGATTAGAAAACACACAAAGCAGGAAGCACGGTGCTTGGCACATGCTTAGTAGTTGTTAGCTATTTCTGTGCTAGTGTTGTAAAATGTTAAAAGACTTAATTCATGTAGATGAAAGACTTGTACAACCTTTTGTCTCAGAGAGGAAATCACTTGAAGGATAGGAAATAACCTCATCAATTTAGAATATTTCTGTTATTTAGTGAACTGTTATTAGGTTATCTTTCACCATTCCCTGTGATCTAATAGGATCATTTAACAACTTTTAAATCCTGCCTATTGAACAAAACATGGCAATAGTAAAGGACAAACTATTTACAAATGTATAGAAGTTTTGGAATTTATTTGCCAAATCAAGTGCAGGCAATTCCCACAATAATAAGGTAGACTCAAAACAGTTTCAAAAGCTTTTGAAGTGTTCTATTACTCCATTAATTCCATTTAAATACATCATGCAAGGTACTGAGAACTAGTAATAGTGTTTCTTTTTTAAAAACTGGATACCTCACTTTGGCAGCTAAGTAGATAAAGCAAAGCCTTAACAATAGGTCCAAAGTTCTCACTGTTCTTTGAATAGATTTATAGATTTTACTGAAAATGCTAATCCTCA